CCGGCTGCACGCACGAAAAAACATGACTCATGCGGCGTTACCTCGCTCTGAGGCGTTCCATTTAAGGCTTGAAGTGCAAGCGAGAGCGCGGAACGAGCGACAAAGAGGCACAATCGGCCACCGCGTTCGGCAGCGTTCGACATCTGTCTCTCTCCTAATGTAATTTTATTTTCTATTTTTTAGTCTTTTGAAATTTTGCAATCAACATTATACCTATCTAGTATTCGTCAATATATTGAAATAATTTAAAACTTGTTACATAAATTTTACTACTTATTAGAAATTACATCAATAAATTAGGTATATAAAAAAACCAATAAATCACAATTTTGTGACGTCCGTCATATTGGATTTAGAATAACGTCACATTACTTGTCAAGCCCTTTCACTTGATACCCATATCATACGGGTTATTGTAAAAATTATAAATCGCCATTTTGTTACGGCCGCCATGTTGTATTAAAAATTGCCACGTGAACCGAACGTGTGTGCCAAATTTCAGCCCGATAGCTGTAGTGGAAATGGGTGAAATATGGATTGTAAAATTCCTTTTCAACAAAAGACCCGGATTCAATACGTTCCAGGCAATGATAAAGTTATTGGGATGGTTCAGGACGAACTTAATGGAGTTACTGTTGAATTATTCATATTAGAAGCGATCAGTATCGTATAAATAATTTCAGAAGATCCGTTTAGATGAATTTTAACGAGAATGATTAATAAATAAATACATAAGTAATAAATTAAAAGAATTATAAAGACATCGGCAGATATTACAAGACAATTTTTTAAAAAATAATTTATGCTAGTTTAATTTCTTTTAGACGATTGGGATATGTTTCATTTTAAAATTTTGTGATTATTTGATAAACAAATTCTGGTTCGAAAAAGGTATGCCCTAATTGTAAAAAGGAAACCACGATTGAGTAACATTTCTATTATAAAAATGTATAAAACAATTATGTCCCCTGTTCGTTATAACCGACTTCGACTGTGTAGATTTGTGAAAGTATGTATCACAAGATAAATAGAATAACGTCAGTGATTTCTAGGATTTAAAAATAAATTAAACTATAGATAGAGAATGTAACAATTTTAGTAGCTATGATTTTTGATAATTACTTGCCCAACCTTAAACTGATGGTTTCTCATAGTATTTCGCAATGTACTGATAAAGTTTTTGCACTCGAAGTTCAGTGAACGTAAACTGAATATTAACTGTGGTTTATTGCGACTGTCGGAAAATTATATTGAAATTCAAAAATGTTTTTATTTACTCAAAATGTGTAAGCCACTAAAAATTACACTAATTTATATTTGTTGTTGACGCATTTGCTACTTTGTTTTTAAATCGCCACTGTAGACTTGACTATTTCGTCGCTTTGTAAAGGCAGAGATTAGCATTAGTTTGAAATTTGATGTTTACTTAATTGTTATGTCAACTTTCCGAGAGCTAAAAATTTCATTGAAGACCGTTGTTTCTGCAAAATTTGGAAAGCAAATATTTTTGAAAAGTCGGATATATTCCATTAACTTATCTATTCCGTCAAAAATTTGCCGACTTGTTTAGTGTTCGTTTAATACTTTTATAATGATCTGTTCTTAGAATGAAAGTGAGTAAAAATATTTAAATATTAGTAGCTAAATTACGGCTAGGCAACTATTAAATCAAAATAACTTAAACCGTCATGATAAGATAAATGCTACGGGCTCTTGTAATTTCAGTTGTTTTCCAATTTTAAAAATATATCAGAGCTTTGAAAGGATAAAATTTATTTTTGATAAACTTCTACTTGAGAAACTTTTATTTTTATAACCAATAAACAATGAATCACTTTCGATAACACTCTCTTCACGTACTTTTTTACGAATGTTGTTATTTGAAAAACGAGTTTTCTACATTTTTTTTTAAAGAGAATACTTCCTTTATCTGTGGATTCATAAGTTTTTGAATATTCGTAGGTTGATACGTGAAAAAATCCTGTACAAATATTCTTTTACAATATCTACTTTGGGCTTTTGTGAAGGCTCAGAGAACGCCTTAGGACTTGTATGAAAATACGTTTGTGCTATATTACATCAAAAGCTCTTTTTATCAATAACCTATCCCATTTTTTCCATTTACACTTGAAGCATTTGTATCTATTGTTAGATAATAAAAAGGAAATACATTTATTGAAAAGTAGATCAAGGTTTAACAGAATTCATAATTTTTGTTTGTGAATTGCTTTGAAGACACTTTCATTTTTAGTGCGTATGAATGAAAAATAGAGAACTTACAATTTTATCGAAATGTTCGGGTTAATTCGGATCATGTTAATTAAAGAATAAAAAGTCTTAATAACCTGGAATAAAAGTGGGTGGGTGTCAATATATTCAACTTTGTCAACCTATTTTATGTATAAAAAAGATTTGTAAAGCACAAAAAAGGAAGTTTGAAACGTAAATTTTTGAATATAATACCAAAGATGGTGAAAGGTATGTGTTAAATGTAGGCATACACCTTTTAACTAACTTTTTAATTCAATGTTTCGACTTGTAATTGAAATAAAGAAGTTCATGTGTAACTCCAGAACAATTAGATGTGATATTACGTATGTCTATACATAAGAGTAGTATCGTAGGTGTAACGTATGTGACTGAAAGCTCAGATTTATTTCCCGAGAGTCAGTTTTCAAATTCTATTCAAAGTAGGAGACAAATTCCATAAAATTTTAGTCAGTCTGTGATGCATTCTAAGAAATCCTGTTTGAACTTTGTACATTCATCAGTTTTAACGTGTTTCTCTTGTCAAATCGAATGTACTGTGTGCTGTAAATATTGTGTAACATTCACAGCGCAAGTGTGTGATGATATGACTCGCACAATGAAGTTTTAAATTTGACCCAGTTCAAATTTTTGACGTGACGTCTTATAATTCGATGGAGCCGACTGCACGCACGAAAAAACATGACTCATGCGGCGTTACCTCGCTCTGAGGCGTTCCATTTAAGGCTTGAAGTGCAAGCGAGAGCGCGGAACGAGCGACAAAGAGGCACAATCGGCC